TCATGGTCAATTAATTTTAAATTTTAAAAAGGCACCAAGGTAATTCAATGAGAAATGATCATTTTTCTCAACAAATGACACTGGAGAAACTGAATACCCACATGCATAAAGATGAGTGTAAGCCCTTATTGCATACCATACACAAAAATTAATTCAAAATTTTCTTAGACTTAAATGTAAGAACTATAATCACAAAATTTCTGGAAGAAAAAAGGAGAAAAACTTTTAGAATTTGGGTTAGATGGAACTCTTACATGTAGCACCCAAAGAATAATGTATAAAATTTTAAAATTAACAAATTGGACTGCATCAAAATTTAAAACTTTTCAAGACTGGCTACAGCAATCAAGTCAATGCTGTTTGTTGAAAACAAATAAACAATGGATAGGTCTGATCAGTCCATTTTCAATGATAATAAATATTTAAATATGAAAAAACTAAATGTAATGATAAAAATGACACATGCCCAATTATGGCGGCCCTGGCTAGAGAATCTGAAGAGTTAACCTAACATAGTCAGAAGAATTAAGTTGGTTGTGAATACCAAATTGTTTGACAGGCAATGCCTTGGTACTATTTACTGTTCATAGTAGGTACTCATAAAATTATTTGTTAAATCCCCTCCAAATAGTTTGATATTTGTTTAAGTCTTCTTTCAAGAAGCTGAATGACAAGATGAATATGCTTTGTGTTTAAAAGGAGGAGGCCTGTACTTCTTCATACTGGAAGCAGTGGAATGTGGCATGAGGGAAAGATTCATTGAGGCCCATATCTGAGCTCTCAGGCCATAATGAAATTCCATTTATTGTTAAATCAAATGAATTAAGAAAGTTTATATCTGGTTACATATTTAAAAAAATAAAAACCCCTCCTAGGCAATCTTGTTCCATTATTTTTTGACTCTAACTATAATTCAGATTCATCTTTATGAGTGAAATAAGGGCTCAATGGCCAATGAAACACCCAAAGGGAAGATTTGTTTTGGAGGAGTTATGTAATTTTAGCTGCTCTGACTATGATTCACGCATCTTACACATTAGCATCTGGAGGACAAATTAAGTCATTTGGATGTGCTATTTGGAATGGCAGATCCAAAAGGGTAACAGAGAGCTTGCTTTACCATATAGTCTGTGACTTTGAATAAGCTAATATACAGTACTGGGAAACTTAATTTCCATAGGTGAAAAAATAGGATTAGTTAAAATCTATACTGCAATTACAAGTTGAAAGAAGGAATCAACGATATTTCTTAAAGTTCTTTGGCTTACCTGCCACCTCCCTCAAGTTTTTTTTTTTGGCTCATATGCATAATTTATAGAACAATGCTGTCTAAAACTAAAAGACTTTGGTGAATGTTAAGTAAAGTAGAAGAAGAATAAAGTAAATCCTTTTTGAGGCAATTTAAAAATATTGAGGAGTTTAATTATGTTTTATGAATAATTTAAGTGTGGATTAAAAAAAAAAAACAACAAACTCATGCCTTTGACCAGAAGCCTAAGTATCCCATGACATAAGTGGGTCTTGTATAATAGATGAATACTCAGAATTAAAAACAAACACGAACTGGAAGGCAGCACTCTTTCCCGTGACTTCCATTTTTCTTTCTTAAATTGCTGAAAGAGTCTTAGTGTCACTAATTTTTAAAAATCACAATTATAGGATTGAGGTTTTATTGTGTAAATTCAAAACAGGAATAAAAGTAATTCTCCCCAGCACCCATTTTGACTTGCCTTTTGCTAAATTACAGCCAGAAAATAAGCTCTTGGAAAAAATTTTGGGAAAAGTGACAGAAAATTATATACCTACTGTTAAAAAAAAATCTCTTCACTGGAGGTAAATTATGATGCAAAGTAAGAACTTTACATATTTTCTTCACATTTTGTATGATGGGCCTGGAAGCTACTGCATGGACACTGATTACAGAATTGCAAGAAGCTTTTTGGCAACAAAGAGTTACATTTGCAAAATTAGACTAAGTTCCATTACCTGAAAAGAGTCTTAGTCCTAGTATGTTAAAATAAGAACTTTTCTAGAATAAATCTAAGATGTTTCTTTAGGCAGGAAAAAAGTTATGCCTTGGAAAATATGGCAATATATGTTCACATATATGTTCAGATTATATGTATGAAATTAAAATAACTATAGAACAATGTTGTATAGGGATCCAGTAGAATCCAGTGCACCTCTTCCTATTCCTTAGCTGAGACTGCTGATAAGTCTGCATCTGACTGCCCATGAGCATACTTTGACTTTACTCCTTCTAGAGCATACAAACTGGGTCTCCAGCGTATTTTCCCATGGACCTCTTACACTTCTCTTCAGTATAAATCTTTTGCTTCACTCAAACGACTGATCCACTCTCCTGCAGACAACCTCTTCTGTTGCCCCAAATTTCTCTTTCCTTAGATCTCCTTCTGTTGGGGACCCCAAAACAAGTCAAGATTGCGCCTGGCAGTTTGCCAGGAGGAGTGGTTTGTTAGGCAATGCCAGGGAGCTATTAAGATGGTGAGGATTCCTTAATGGCTGACTGCTATATCTAGATGATGCTAATTGAGTCAAGCTGTGTGTAATCAGTTAGGTATATATACCTCTGCTGTCCCGCAATAAAGTGGCTCCTGCTACCTTGGGTGACCACTATCTTGAGTTCCTGCTCAGCTCCTGCTGAGTTCCCTTGCAATAAAGGAGTTCCCACTTCAACCTTCAAGTTGCTTGTCACACCCAGTTATTTTGCCCAGCCAGACTGCGGCACCCTTCCCTCTTCCTTTAGTTCAAAATCAAATCTCTACTGAAAAGCTGTCCCAGTGATATTTTTATTTGTGCTGAACTCTTTATAACATACATTATTGTATCATAAATATGATGCAGAATAAATATGCTTTAGTTAGTATATCATAGTGTGCAATCCTCAAGGCACCAGGACACAATATTGTGTACATAGTAATATTCCAACCATGTACAGATTGGTCCATAAAAAAGAAACTTGAGGAAAGGATTATGACTTATTTATTTTTTTATAAGTATATATATGAGTTGTGTGCATATTTGTGTGTATATATGTATATACATGTATATATGTAAGTATGTATATTTAAGTATATAGATAGATTTCATTTTCTACAATGAACACATATATTCAGAGGAAAAAAGAGACCCTCTGAACAAAGTCTAAATACCCAAATCATGCTATTTTATAAAACAAGAGTAAGCACTATGCTTTTTCAAAAAACTTAATGTAATGCAAAAATGAAATGTATTTTTATGCACTTTTAAGAAAGTATGTTGATATTTTCATTACTATTATTTCATGTTGGAGAAAGTAGGAAGGATAATATCTATACACATTATTTTAGTTACTTAAAAGAGAGAATATTTTGTGACTAGTTGTGTAAAAGGTAGGTTATTTTAGTTCCACATTGACTCTTTACAGAAACTCTAGGGGTAGGGAAGCCTGAAATCCTATTCTCTACCATCTTCTCCCTTTATGGAAAGTGGGACATCAAGGTTCTTTATCAGAGCATATTAATGAATCTTTTGGTATTCAAGGGCAGCTCTGAAGAAGAGGAGGTGCAAACTATTCTTATTTTATAAGGAAGTGAGAAAATGGAGTTCCTAGAAGGAAGTCTAGGAAACGGAGGCAATGGAAAATGGAAGGAAGACTCTGAAGGTTTATTGTTTTAGTGGACATTTTTGAGTTCCTAAAATAGGCACAACCCTGTCCTAGGTACTAGATAGAAATTCACTGATAAACCAAAACAGATAAAATTTATCTGCCTTAGTGGAATTAATATTCTAGTAGGCAGGAGGATGAAGCCCATGAGATTTTGAGGGGACCAGGGATGCTAGAAGACTTTTAAGAAATCTGCTCTTCAATGTTGTTATATTTGTTGCCATCATGTAAGTGTGGCCTCCAAATTTCCAGCAAAGGTACGATGTTTATGAATGCTGTAAGAGATTTGTTGTTATATTTAGGGTTGAGACAGACTAGGGGACAAGGGTGAGCAAGGGGATTGGCAGCTTAGACAAACACCTTTGCCTACTCTGCCTGCTCATTAGCATGAGTACCTCCCACCCTGCCCCACATTCTCCTGACACAGTGATTTGCTGAGTCCTCCAAGAAATAAAACTGTATGAACTATGTATTACCAAGCCAGAGAAAGACAGTCCCATTTTCCTTTTATGTTCTAATATGTTGGAGAGTTGCCCAAACCATCTTTTGTGTAAATGATATTTTTCAGAGTTTACCAAAAGCAGCTGTTTTAGTTTTAATTTATAATCTCTACCCTCGTATCTCTTCTACTTAAAATTTTTTGATGGCTTTCTGTTGTCTTTAGGAGACAGGTCTAAATCCTTAAAATGAGATCTTAGAACTACATAATTCAGTGCCCACCAACTGCCACTTTGGCCTTATTGGAATTAAGTCCGTTAAATGGATCCTCTGGGGTTTTACAGAATTCAATCTATCCATCCCTCATCCTTAACCCCTGCTTGTTTAAATATCAGTTTGTCTTGTTCCTGGGGAAGCTTCCTCTAATGCCCCAAATGTCTTGGCTCATTTGAACAGTGTTAACAAAATTGACTTGGTAATTTATAGTAGCAAAAGTTTATTGCAAAACAAGATCAAATGACTGACAGATTTGATGTCTGGTGGGTCTTGCTCTTTGTTTTCAAGATCTCAGTTTGTTGCTGTATCTTCAGATAGAAGGAGGAGCCAGAGACCTCCTTTGAGCTTCCTTCAGAAGGTCTCTGCTCCCATTCATTAGGTTTGAGTCCCAATGGTTTAATCACTTCCCAAGGTCTTGGATCTTAATATTACCATGCTGGCTATTAGGTTCCAGCATATGAATTTTGGGAAAACATCAACATTCAGACTGCAGCAAGATCCCTGTTGAATGTTCTCACAGCACACTTTAGTTCATCATTTCTAGAGTGCAGTGCTCTGCCTGGTTTCGGTGTCAGATTTTATATTTAATAGTTCATCTTTCTTTCTTTTGTATCCTCAGGGCAAAGTCTAGTGCATAGGAGAACTTCATGCTGCAGACAGCAGTCCCCAGAGGCCTGGAGATCAGACTGACAGACTCCAAACTCTCTTCAGAACCTACCTCCTTTTCTCATGACCAGTCTACATGCTCAGGCAAGCTTTTCTCCTCTGAGACAAGTGTGCTCCTGGAAGCTTCTTTACTGCTCTAAGGTATGGATTTTTATCTGGCTTCTTTGGGCTCAGGATGAAATTGGGTGTAATCCATTTGTAAATATTCAACACACACACAAAAAATCCCACATGATGTGAGAAAAACATACAGATGTCAAATCAGCACATGAAGACATGCCCATATCAGGGAAATACAAATTAGAACAATGAAACCACTGTTCACCTATTAGAAGGATCAAAATTCAGAACACTTATGACATCAAGTGTTAGCAAGGATGTGGATTAAGAGACACTCAAATTCACTGTGGATGGGAATGCAAAATGGCAGAATAACTTTGGGACACAATTTGATAGTTTCTTACAAAATGAAACATACTTCTGCCATATGGTCTGACAATGATCTTTAGTATTTATCCAAAGAAGTTGAAAACTTATCTTCACAAATACCTGCATACAGATATTTATAGCAGCTCTAGTCATGATTGCCAACACCTGGAAACAACCAAAATGCTTGGATATATGAATGGATAAAATGTGATACATTTAGACAATGGAATATTATTCAGAATTGATCTAATAAGCTATGAGAAGATATGGAAAAAACTTAAATGTACAACACTCACTGAAAGAAGTCAATCTGAAAAGGCTACAGACTGTGTTAACCACACAAGGGACCCATAGCTCTTCAAGATTAACCAGTAGTGCTCAGACATTAACTGACTTGGTTTTATTATTCTCAGGTCAATGAAAGCCAAGGATCGTGATTATGATAACTTTTTTCCCCCCAGTGTTGGGTATTAAACCCAGGGCTTTGCACCTACTGAATATGTGTTCTACCACTGAGATACACTCCTCAGCCCCTGTAATAACTCCTATAACTTTTATAGTGGGACTTCTGGATTGTTAGTATGTGGATAAAAATTATATTCTTGTAAGGCTCTGAATTGAGTAGCCTATGCAGTTTCCTTTACCTACTGTATTTTCTCTAAATTGCATTCCTCAATTTGATATATGCTGTTCTGTCTATTTGCAGAATTGATTTTAGGGTTTTCAAATATTGTGCTTCTCCTCAGAATTCATCACTGCTTCTTCCCTTATATCTGCACCTAGTTTTCCATTTGCTTATCCCCTCTACCTTTAGGCCATGGCTCAGTGACACACCCCTGCTTCTTTTATTTTTTTATTTAGTCATTTTAGTCAGTTCACATTCCCCTAGAGAGCTTTTTGTCATTTTTATCTAGACTCTGGCCTTGACTCTTATCTATTTTTTTTTTTATCAAAGGCTGCAGAATCCTTTGGGATCTAAGAGGCAGAGCAGATAAATGCCAACTTTAGGGAGAGCTACTTCAGTTGCACAAGTGAAGGGCCCTTGTCTGTAATTCTGAGCTTTCCACATCAATCTATTTAGTTTTTCCTATACACATTGGAAGACATTCTGCTCTGATTTTGAGGGAAATATGTGCTGACAGATAGAAAAATATATATATATATATACATGGAATCTGCTTTTCTCACTCCCACACTCATTTGAACTAAGTGGGTAAAGCTAGACCCCAGTTACCAGAGAATAATTTGGGTTTGTGTGTTTTTTCTTAAACACTAATATCTGCAGTTAACTCACTTCTCTTTTATATTACCTGTCAGACCATGCTACTTATGCCAATTAGACTTATAAAAATCAAGTTTGACTTGAATTATTTTATCTCATATAGAGATTTTCCTGGAGCAATTAACATATAAAAGTGAAAAAAATTTGAGAAAGTTAACATAGTTCTTTCTCTTGTTCTGAAATGGATCATGGAATCTGATTTGAATAACAACTTTCAGGAATTACATACTGTTTCTACTTGATGTGATACAAAGCTTTGCCTCCTTGTTGGCCACCTCTGTTGCCATGGCAATGATCTCAATTTCACAGATGTAGCAGTGCATTTGCCTGGTGGGAAGCTCAGGCCATTGTTTATGAGAATAATTATTTAAGAGCAGTTGTCATTAACATAAGACTCACTGTCAAACTTGTTAGAAAAAAGTGAAATGGAATATTGCTATCACATAAGATTAGGGAAATATTGGAGGAAAATTAGCACAAGTGTGTAAAGACTCTTGAGCATACAGAGTTCCCCTAATTCAGTACCAGCATGCAAATAGAGGGGATATAAACATGGGATCCTTGAAATTTTGCCCTGCCTGGGAACTTAGAAATAAACTAGCATAAATTTTGAAGTTTTGCTAATGTAAAAAAAAAATGAAGAAGAAAAGAAAGACTAGACAAAGACTATTTCTCAAGAAGCTGCATATATAATTTCTTGTGGGAAATCAATGAACATAGAAATTTATGTTGTTATTGGGAGAAATGAAGAACTAATCTAAGTAGGCATCATATGTTTCAAACTCACCTCCTTATTAATGGAATAAACATATTTTCTCATAATAAGCTTCTCAGAAGCTTGTGATTAGAGTGCATGGTTTTATGGTAATGCACCACTACCTTTAGGGAGGTAATCCCAATTGAGCAAAGTAATTGAGTTTTTGATGCAATCTTTCTTGCATATGTAAGATAACTAATTATTTCTCACTGAAAATGAAGGTGAAGTTGAATCAAATTATGTTATTCTTAAAGATATAAAAAATGAGAGAAAAACAGCTGCAGATAGCCCTCTAAATTCTTTTATTCATCCTTAAATATCATCTAATAATACTCTCCTTTTGAAATTACTTGAAAATAAATGGGCAGAGTAAGGGTCTTTCATTTCAAGAGATCTCAGCATTTAGGTGAAGTGCTAATGAATACTTTGTGAACCACTAGTGAGTCTGCCCATGGTTTTAGCAATGTCCCTGAAATCTTGTGGCATCTCTCCTGTCACAATGTGATCATTATAAGGTTGTACTTTCAGCAGCTTCCCCAAGGCTTAAGTTTTCCTTCTCTAACATTTATAAGATATACCAGGCTCTATAAAATTTGTCAGTTTCAGAAAGTAAATGATATTTTACTGTCAATTGCTGTTGTGGGATTCTATCAGCTATGTCTTGCCATTATTTCCAAGAATAATTTTTCATTCTAAAGTGTAGTTTTTCCTTTTACTGATAAATCTGGAAACAGGTTAATATGTGAATTAGAGAATCAGCTTAATTATTTCACACTAAATAATATTCCCTAGGTTTTACTATATAGAAACCAATATGGAAGTATGGATTTAGTTGCCTTTTTTTTTTTTTTGTGTGTGGTGCTGGGGATTGAACCCACGCCCTGTGCATGCAAGGCAAGCACTCTACCACCTGAGCTATATATCCCCAGCCCAGGGTTTAGTTGCTTTTTAATTGTTTTTCATCAATGGAAATGTATTAATTTAAAAGAAATTTAGTGTATATAGTCATTGGTATCAACTGAAATTTCATTGCACAGTGCAGTTGATGTGAAAGGTGGGAAGATATTGGACTGTGGCATAAATATATAATGAAGTTGTTGGCAATTTGACATCAAATATTTAGTTGATGGATGGATTAAGACCAACAACATAATATAGTATAAACTCTTAAAAGGCCACCCATATAAGTGACCTATGGCTCTGTATCAGTAACAGGGACTTATTCCTTATTGTTAAGTATTTCTTAATTGTTAGCTTAGCACACCATCCTGAAGATTTTTTCCTGGCCACAAGAAAGAGTTGAAGGCATGAGAACCACGTGTGCACAAAAGGCAACAAAATAAAGTGGTTTTAAGAATAAGTTTTGGAGGTAGAGTTCTAATCCCAGCTTGGATTTCTTCCTGTTCTGAAACTGTGGGTAAATTACTGGATCTCCTGAAACCTCAGTTACACTGCTGGTGCAAAATGGGAATAATGATTTCTAACTCATAGGGTATAGTATAGCATCAGTGTTATAAGAAGGGTAAATTGCATAAATAGTAGGTACTCAACAATAGTAAAACCATTTTGATAGCTTTAATGAATCTTTGTGTGGTGAAGGTAAAATATCATTACTTGTTTTCATTTTTATAAAAATAACTTTATTCTAGGAAATAAACATATAATAAGGATAACAATATAACAAAAACACTAAAAAATTTAAAATAGTCTTTTGGATTATTATCCAGATGACTTTTGTAACGCTTGTAAAATATGTACCTTATATTCTTTACCACGTAAGAAACCTGAAGATGTGGGTTGTAAACTTCTCAGACAATGACTAATAAAGTATTTTAGGTGGGATCAAGTAAGTAGTTAGGGGCAAACCAAGATAAAAGGCCCCAGTTGGAGTGTGGTGCCATTTCCTTGAAGCAATTGCTGCTCCAGATTGTAGACTACAATGCTCATGTCTGGATTGCTGAATATATACTATATTACATGCAGTGGTGTGCTGGTAAATTGTCTCAACAATCTCAACAACAACACATAAGAAAAGCCCAGACATAACACAACATTTGCACATTTTCATTTTATAAATACTTCCATCTTGGCTGACTTCAACAGTAATTCTCAAGTAATAATCAGCTCTACAGCGGAATCAGCTCTTGCACACAATTGAACACATTACTTTCTTTTCATGCCAGTTACAGATGACCATTCTAGTGAGCCTCTTGTCTTCCATCAAAAAAACTTTGTTCTACTTTGGCTGTGAGAGACAGGCTTACTGTGCAAAATGTGTCTCAATTTGAGAAACCTATTTGATATTCATCTTCAAATTAGGGACCATGGAAAGAAATAATAATATTATCCATATTAGAATGTTAAAGGGTATACAAATGCTTGGGCATGGAAAGGATGGACCCATTATTGATTATTTTTTTGGCATGCATATGATCATGGGCACTCATGGGAACTCAAAAGTCAGAGACGTATAAGAGTTTTTTTTTCTGTGGGTACTTTTAATTCTGGAGAGGGGTCAGTATGTACACATGTAGACACCCTATACACAGACACATACATTATATATGTCTATATATATATATATATTTTTATATATATATATATATACATAATCTACTATCTATTTATCTACATCATCTATTTTTTCATGATGTTCTTGATGATAATTGCATT